CCTGCAGCTGACAAAAAGCACTGTATCTGAGGTTCATGTTATGTTTGTACTGCCACCTGTAAGTGTAGGTCAAATAAGAGATTTAAGATATCTATGGAAGCTGGTCACTCAACTGTGTTAGCTATGACCTCTTTATTTTAGAAAGCCTTTTTCTTCCCTTTCCTCCATATAGGTGAGAGTTTTGTGCTACAATCTGCTAATAATTTTCATTGAACAGGTGAAAGATAGAAACTCTTACCAACTCCAAGACATGAAGACCATCCTTTTCCAGGAAAGTAAAAAAATAGAAGTGAAATGCTAATGAAGCAACAGATAAACATACCAGAAAGTTGGTGGAAATCATGAGCAGATTCTAAGTCCTGCTAATGGGCTTGCTGGAAATCGAGAGCTGAATTTCTGAGCGAGGGAAGGACCTGTTTCTGCAGAGTTCAAGGAAATGCAGTATGGTCTGCATCACATAAGGCATGATTTACATGACCATTTTTTTCTTTCTGACATAGAAGCAAAGCCCTGACTATTAGTGATTTTCTCTGGCTGTTAGGACTTATCATCTTACCCATCACTTTTTTTCTGTCATTAAAAATAATTAACCTTTTGAAAGCTGACAATGTTTCCTTCACTTCCCTCCATAACTGGCACTTGTACATAGGACAGGAAATAAATGAGTGCCTGAGAAGAAGTCATGTGCAGTGGTCTTAGTATGTTTTCCCTTCATTTCACCCACATTGAAAGCCATTTCTCCAATTTTATGTCTATATCTATATCGCATAAAGCAAAGTCATCATTACTCAGAAGAGTTCCCAGCACTTACTCTGATGATCCAGCTGCAGTCAATGTTTGGTGAGTAATAACTTGGGTAATAGGGGGAACTCAGTGTCCCATTCCAGGAAATATAATGACCACCACACACTGGGAGAGAAATATATCAGCAAGGAACATAGTTATCTCAGCTGGGCTAAAGCGCAGAGCCTACTTCACTTGCTAGGACCCTTCTCTATGTACAGAGATAGAAGGATGGGTTGTGACAGCATTAAACTCAGGTTTTGCTTATATTAGTAGAAAATCATATTACTTCCTCTTCCCCATCACTCTGATTTTCTCTTTTTTTTGGATCAAATTACAGTTAAGGTTAAGCTTGGAGTTTTTTTAAAAATCATTTTTTCATGGTAAGTGGAAGAAGGAATTAAATGTGGACACAACAAACCTCCCCCTTCCATTTTCCTTCTTACCTTTCAGTAGACATTTTCAAAAATTAAAAATCAATTAGCCCGATAGAGTGAAACCTCTAATTAATTTAACATAAACCAAGAAGTTTTTGTGTCAGTTCTCAGTCTGAAAATTCATGCCACATTTGAACAATATCTTTGTGGTTTTATTTTCTGCCAAGAACTCTCCTAGATATCAAATCCTTAGTGTTCTTGGTTTCCTTCAGGTAACATAGTAAATGCGAGCATGAATATAATAGAAATGAAGACGATTTTGAAAAGAGCAAAATATCATGGCAAAACCTGGGTTATGCATCGTTTGGAGTGCCCACCTTCAGAACAATGAAGAAATCGTAATTTGCAATGTGCAATGGTGAGTATTTGCCTAAGCAGCATCCAACAAAGACATAAGCCAAAATGTGTAAAGCTTTGGAGAAGTTCACCCACATGCTATCCCCTGTAATTTGTTCCACAATAGTCACTTGCTTAATTGTCAAGATTCTTTCACTTAGACCTTACCAAACAACTGTGGCTGAACTTTCACTTGTGAAACCTTTATGTGTCCTGGATATTTTATGTATATATATACACACACAGATATATATATATATACTATGTATGTATAGTATGGTTATCATTATTCAAAATATTTCACTAATTACCCAGAAATCCTACAAAATTCATAGTACTCCATAGGTTTGGAATATATATTTTTTGGGTCTTGAATTCATTTTTCTTATGCAGTTAACTACACTGAGCAGTGCTTTCAGAAAAGGATCAAAGACATATTACAAGTAAGTGTTTGCTTTTGTTTACTGTTTTCATTAAAAATACATTCCCCAAGCTGAGGATAGATTGCCAAAACTGCTAAAAGTGCTGCTCTGTCACTGGGGCTCTCCAGCTTTGGCTAGACATACAGTGCCTGTCGTGCTATCTATGTGGCTGGCTGCTCCAGTGTTACACATGCAGTAAGATCAGTGTCTGGGAAAGATGGCTTGAGTAATAATCAAGAAGACAAAAATTCTCCCAGACCAAAGGATAATCTCTATTCTCTGTTCAGTTCTCTCTCTCTTTTATAAGTCTCCCTGACTTATAGGCCAACATTACCCCCCAGCCCTCCCAAAATATGTTCAGTCAATATTACCTTTTTTTGAGGCAACGAGAGGAACTACTGTGCTTACATCATACAGTTGTTTCTTTTCATTACTTACTGATTTTAGGAATGGCTTGAAAGTGAGCTTTCAATATGTTGCTTTCTTCTCTTCGGTCCAGTGAGAAGGTGAGCAACATTACATTACTTGATGAAGTTAAGCGTACAACAGGAGGAGTCCAGACCCCAGGTCCACACCATCTGAAATATTATCAAAATTGGATTAATAAAAAAAAAAATTAAAAAAAAAAAATCCCACTTTCCAGTAATCTTTGCTGAGAAACTGGGTAGAAGCAACATTGATCAAGTCACTTGTGTTTCAGAAGTATTCCCCTGGCTACCACTTCCTTTTTATTGTTCCACTCAATTGATACTACATGAGATGCAAGAGTTTCCTAGCATTGAGGCTGAGTCGCTCAGGGTGAACATCACAGCAAGCTCTTGTACCTTGTTGCATAAGGAGAGTTACAAAAGTCTTAACAGAGCTGAGAGGGCTACATACTCACTTGAAATATGTTAAAGCACTACTAAATAAGTGTTTTTCAGACGCTGCTAAATGAATCTGCACACTCAGCTAGCGTCTTCCTAAAAGTTCTTGGAATAACCCCAAAAGTTCCTCCTTGAAATGATCCATCCTCAGATTCTGAAACTTCCTTATTTATTTTGTTAATGAAGACAGGTTCATGGTGAATAACATATCCATACATGAAACTTGACTCTGAAAAGTGGGAGCAGTGTGGCCACTGAAGGTTACAAGATTGTCTGATCTCACTTATGCAAATAGACTGCACAGTGACTCTGGGGACGGAGCTTCCCATAGACACAACACCCCTGTTATGAACAAAGATTTTCCTGTGACTGGGCTTCCATAAAACATATGTTTTCTAAAATAAATAGAATACAATATGCTAAAAAAATTAAAATCTGTATCTTTTTGAGTTGTGACAGTAACGGGATGAAATTGAAACCAGTCAAAATTAGTCATAATGTAGAATAAAACCCACAGGAATTTATTATTCATTGGGGGGAATAATATGGAAGATATTTTTATAGCCTTACACAAGAATTTTTAATTAAGTTGTATTTGGAGTCTTACATTTTGGAAGCCTTTTTGATATCTTTTTGATATCATGACAGTTTCGGAGAGTTTCTGTACAGCTTAATAAAACATCTTTGTTCTGTGCTATCATACCTTGTAATGATCTTGTTCTGCAGAGGAAGAAGGAAATCGTATGCTGATAAGTGGTGGGATGCACAGCTCTCTGGAGTAACACCATGCAAAGTGATAACTACCAGTCTCACCACACAGTTAGAGGGAATTCGCAGTCTCCATTGATAAAAAGACTTTTTGGGATTCATCAGAGTTAGAGTCCTGTTGTTACCTGGCTTGGCATACAGGTCAAAGGATACTGGTATACAAAAGAAGCTAGATCAGTGGCTGAAAAAACTGTTAAGTTGAAAGATAAATTAAGTTATTGGGTAAAATTTCAGAAGAGGCGGCAACAATCACCTACCCACACTTTTTGACTACTCTAAATCTTCTCTTCCTGTACTTTTACAACTCTATTCCCTTTTCCCTACCAGACTGCATCACCTTCTTTCCCTGTTCTGGCCAAGGAAGCGCAACACCTCAGCACCATCGGCTCATCATACACTTAGCAAGCAGGAGGGAACTTGGCTCCAACTGCTACCTTCTCTACTTGAAACCTACTGCTTCCTTTGCCATTTTCTCTTCACCCCTCTCCATGCAATGAGAACACTGAGAATATGAAGCCAATCTTGAAGTGTGCTTCAAGAGATATGGAGAAAACCAAGCAAAGGGAACTAAAGCTCTACAGTATTTGACTGATCACTGCGAATAACCAAGTTATATAATCACAAGGCAAATAAATGGTGTATAATTTTATATAGTAGCTTTTTGAAAAATGTCAAGAAAAGGAGCCACAGCTCATCACAATTTAGTGGGAACTATTCAATTTTAACCATTCTTGTCAGAACATCAGAATTAAAGCTGTAAAGCATTTTTGTCTCAGCCTTTATTTGAAGCCCAGGCCAGGGAGATCCTTAGTCTGGTTTAGTTTGTAGGTCCTACAGATAAAAGAATAATGGGGAAACAAACATTTTTTTTTGTTACAAGAATTTTTTTTTTTTTCCCCAAAGTGGAATTGAAGAATAATTACCTGATTTTAGCATCACTTCATACTCTGTGGAATCTGAAACTGAAATTTAATAACTATCAGCTGCACAAGCCAAAGACACAAATTGGAGAAAGAAAACTAGACAGAATAGGTATTAAATGACAAGTACATTGTTACCAAAAAGCTCCATTGTAACAAGATCAAAATCTTCCTCCCCAGAAGAATTGAACATATGAGCTGCCTGTTTATGACTGATTTCTTTTTGTTCCACTGGGGTTAATTTTTTAAGAGAAGCAACCATATATTGTGGTGCCCAGAATATATTCCAGTAGTAAGCTCGGAGTCCAGATTCTCCTTCACTGTGGAGGGGAAAAAAAAACAAACAAAACCCCACATCATAAATACATTCTAATTAGTATTTTGAACATGCTTTCCTCTAGTCTGCATTTTTGGTTCACACAGTTTCATAGCCAGCTGAAGTGCTGGGTGAAAAGTTGTAGCTGAACACAGCGGCAAAAAGCTTTCTTGTTTAATAATTGCTTTTTCTACACAGCAGAAATAATTCAAAAATATGCTGCTTAAACAGTAACACGCTGAGGCTGAAAACTACACCTCATAGAAAATCCTTGCAATAATTTTTACAGAATTAGATGGTTGCATCCCTGATGCATAATTATACACTTTTAAGACCACATTACAGTTCTAGACACATTTTTCTTAATATTTTTCATTGAGTTCCACACTATATGACAGTATAATTTTATGCCCATACATTGGTATAACATTTCACACAGTTCTTGTTAAAATAAATAATCTGTATGTGTGCATATACAAAATATTACTTAAGTGATTCAGAGACAGTCCATCACACTCTTCCTTTCAAAATACCCTATGGATTAACCTTTCAGAAGTTTTCAATGTCATCTGCTCAATATATTTATATTTCTTACCAGGAGCTTAAGGAGAGTGTTCTGCCCAAAATTATACCTTTAGGTTTTGTTTTGAGAAGTTTAAAAGGAACTTCATTTAAACAAACAAAACCAAAATAAGATTCTGCAAGTGGTAGAGAAAAAAACCCTATTGAACTATGATTTCAAAAATCAAACACAGATGAATAGACTACAAAGCAATCCGTAAACCAAGGCACAATTAATCAGACTTCATTTCTATCACCAGTTCTTCAGGGCAAGACAGAAATTGCAGCGTTAGCTTAGCTCTTAGCTCACATACTTAAGTACATTTCTGCATTTTTCATTCCCTGTTAGAGAGATCTGCATATTCTTCCAGATAACTAATTTAAAATGCATGAAAAAAAGATAAGACCAACACAATTTAATATCTTAGATTTATACTGAACCTACCTGAAAGCAGCTACTACAGACTTCATGTAGTACTTTCCCCAGGAGGAAGACTCATACGATTCTGCAAACTGACAGTTCAGTAATGAAAAAAGAAAATGTAAAAGGTATTACATTTTAATGTCAATATAGTCTGTTATGTTATAAAGTATTTGTCTTATTTCTCCCTTTACCCTTCCTCACTTCCCTCCCGTATCACAAGCACTATCCATCATTTTCACAAAATATATCAGATAAGGATCATAAATGTACGCTCATATAGACTTTAAAAAAAAAATTACTTAAGTCACATCACATTTCAAGACCATTGAGATAACTTTTGATAACTAGTCATGAAAAACAAGCTTTTATGAATACATTTATATTTTTATTTCCATCTTTGAATTTCTGGCATATGATCTGGACATGAACAACTTGTATTGGCTGTGCACAAAGCAGCTTTGAGACACTAGATTAGGTCTTTGGGGAAATACAGTCTAACAAAGAAGTGCTTTGTGTTGAAAACTGCTGTTCATATGCACCCAGGAAACTGTATTGATCTCACAAATAGGAGCTCACGTAAGAAGTGCAAGAAAGCAAGCGTTGTTGTGGGAAATAAGGGAAAACAAAGCAAAACAAAGTTAAGGATTGAATTTGGGCAATATTTTTTAAAAAGAACAAAGAGAAAAATATAACAAGGAAGATTGTCTGAGTAAAGTAAAACAAAAACCACAATCCTAATTCCTTTAAGAAGAACACTTTGTCCATAACCTTGAAACCATCAGGTTTTATTACCTAGGAAATATTGGCCTTACTTTGAGGCACACATCCCCAGAAGCCTAGATACATTCCTAAAGCTGTACACTGCTGAGGCACTTACTAGTTTTAAACTTACTCTTTTGAAGAAAATAAGTTTGTGACTTACTGAAATCTTCTCTGTATTCCCAATCTGATTCTGTAATAAATATTTTTAAGTTATTGCTATACTTACATAATTTTGGATTGCTTCTGCTTGCAAGAGGAATTTCTGTGACTTTGGATCATTGAGGTCATTTGTATAAGTCAAATTAAGAATTTCTACGCTTCCCCCGATATAAATAAAGGAGAAAGCTGGAGCTGAGGGAAAAAAAAAAGAAAGAAAAAAAAAAAAAGGATTAAAATCTAGCACACCTAAGAACATTAGGGAAAAGCTTCCAGAAGCATTTGTCCTTGGCACCAGTAGGCATTAGTTTTTAAGAGAAACACGGGATAATAACTAGAATGCTGAGTCAGTCCCATTGATAGAATAATGCCCAGAAGGGAAGGAGAGAGCTGAGGTACAGGTTCAGACAGGAATTTATACTAGCAAGTTTTAATTGTTAAAAATCCATTTTTTGCAGCACTATACTCCTGGAGAGAGATTATTTTAATGCTATAAGTTGAGCTCTAAGAATAAGTGTACATAAATTAGGTACCCATTCTGTTTTGAAAAAGTTAATAGTAGACTGTTAATATCTATAGGTTTTTGGGAAAGATGACAGTTGCAATAATGATGGTATCCAAAAGCAGAGAAAAAAAATTAGAGGTTAAATACAGACCTTCATTATTCTTGTACAACTATCAACCACTAATTATTATACATTTTGTTGTCTTAGCAAAGACATTAAGGAGAAGGGAAAGTCTTTATACATGCATTATGTGCTTAGCTGCTTAGTGCAGAGCTTTTCATACTCATCATTCACACAGTGCAAAGGACCTACCCCATCCAAACCATGCTTGGGAGTAACTTCTAACTGCTAAGAAGAAAATTAACTCTATCCTAGCAAAACCAGGACACACTTACAGAACAAATAATGCAGGACTAGCATGATTACTGCAACTGTTAAAGAAACTATAAGTAATATTCCTAGAAGCCATCTTTTCCAGAAACACAACCTCATCCATTTGAAGAAACAGCACTTTTGACACAAGCCTTCTTGGTAGGATGGGCAGTAGTGAATATGTAGACTTTCCTAGAGAAGGACATGGGAAGGCATAAATTAGTAAAACAACAAAAGAAGAGCTATTTTACCATGTTTTAGTATATTTGCCCTTTTAGTTTTCAAAAAGGTTTAAACTGAGATGATATATTTCATGTTATCAGCTATGTCACACATGAAACCCACGTATTTCTTGGCTGTTTGTTTGTGGCATGCATTTCAAGCTATGTAAGTAGGAGGGAAAATTGCTATTATTTTAGTTAGAAGCAATTTGCATATGAAGAAGCAAAGGTCAATACACACCAGAGTGGGCAGAGAGATCATTTACTCTATTCCTACTGTAAAGCTTAACTGATGTCTCTTACCTGCCCTGCAGTCTGCTCAGAGTGGTATGGAGCTGATACGCTGCACACAGAAACCCAGCTGGAGGGCAAAGCCCGTATCATGATGTCTTGACAAATGCCTTCTGACAAACCTAATAACAAAGTCCTAAATGAACCTCATTCCTCAAACATAACCCAGCATAGCGTACTGCGCGCCCCGCCATGCACACCAGGCTTCTCTCATTTCACCTTTGCCATACTACTTGAAGCTGGAGCCAGCTGATCTGCAATCAAAGAAGGTGGGGAGGAAAAGTTACCATCACTGTAACTCTTTGTTTCCCTAACTGGTAAAGTAGGATATGCATCTCACCATCTGAAAACAGATCAGCTACCCACTTCTTTCAGAAATACAAGAATAGGAAATAATTTATGACACAAAGCAAAAAACGTGCAAGTAATTGACAGGTAAAAAGTCCCAGAGCAAGGTAAATGATGCAACTTCTAACGAACACCTGCTGGAATCCACAAGAATACTTATAAGAAAGAAGAAATGCACAATTCCACAGACTATCTGAAGTTTCCAGCCTCAAGCCAGTACCACAGAATAAACATAATTGCAAAGCAATTCACGTTCACGTATCCTGTTTGCAATTAAAAACAGTTCTAAGTCAGCAAGCCAACAAGTTCAGGGTACTCTGCATGTAAAATAAGAAAATCGAGGATGTGTGTGAGGAAATAAGATATTTTATATGTGAGGAGAGAGAGAGAGACAGAGCACACACAAAGAACAAAACCTGGAAAAACAGAACAGGCCCAAGAAACTTCAGCTCCAGAAAACAAAAAGAGAACAAACCAACTCCAACATCGATCACATGGAAAGCACAAAAGGGATTAATTGCAAGGCAATCCTCACAGCTCAGGAATGCAAACTACAACTGTAGATGCACCACTTTGTTCAAGTCCTCTTTTTTCCAATGGCCTGTCTCTGCCACACACACAACCTGCTCATTGACTGATACTTTGCTCCCTCCTTCATGGAGAGGAAACCCACAGAAATAGCCTAGAGAAAATAAAACCCCTTCTGCATCATCTCTAAAAATTAGATCAGGATTATTTTTAAACTACATACAGTCAGAGAACCTAATAAAATAGCAGTTTAAAATACCTCTCAGAGGGTAGAAGCATCAGTTTTATTTGGGCAAGGACAAGGTAATTGCAGTAACACACTTCACCATACATACTTATCTTGTTAAGATTGCCTGCAGATAAAGAATTCAAATTCTCAAGTGGATGAACTCTGAATTACCTTGAATATGGGAAAATTAAGGCAGGAAATAAAGGAGTTAGGGGCACCAAACCATGCAGTTAATTTAAATGGAAGTTGGAGAAGGAATAAGAAGGAATAATGTTTTCTTCCACGCTTAACTGCAGAACTTCTGATCTCTAAAAATGAGGGCTCTATGGATTTGAGAGAATCGAGTTCACTTTCTACCATATCTCTTCTCCCTCTCTCTATCAGGTTTTCTTGCTGGAGGAGGTGGGGAAAGTAGTATTTGCAAGAGTACTAACAGATGATTGCTACTTCACAGGCACTAGCATATTGGGCCATGCACATCTAGAGCTCTGTCTCTAGATGGTCAGTTGTTTCTTCAGCTTCCCAACAGATGATTGCACATGCATTTAGCTGGTGCCTGGAAAATGAACACAAAGTGCCAGAAGTTTATTACTGCACCTTCTCCTGTGTCTCTAGACATCTGCATAGAACCACCAGCACAAGATCAGTCTCTTCCTCTTTCACCAAGGTCTGACAAAAGGGTAATTGTTACTTCCATCTGTGTACTCCAGAATCAAATACTGAGTCAGCAGGGAGACGTGCAAAGAATTTCCACCACTGAACAGTTTTACCAAACATGATTTTTTAATGAAGATATCCAGGACATGTTTTATTCCAGCAAAATAATTGTCAAGTTACAAGACTGAAGGCACATATTTGCGAATCCACGGTGCAAAATTTGACACTTTGGTGTAGACACCAGGGAAATTTGGTCTTCCACATCCATAACCCCAGCTAACAATGCCAGTCAAAAACCATTTTCCATCTCTGTTGCTTTGACATGACAATGGTCCACCAGAATCACCCTAAAAAGAACATATTGAATTGTATGTGTTTACAATACAGACTACTAAGACTGGAACAAAATTCCACAGAAGATATTTTGAGTAATTCCAACATTGATTACATTTTTCCATTCACACAGTTCAAAATGTCAGATAGCAAATAGGGTTTGTTTGTTTGTTTTTTCTTGAAGCAGATGGGATTTCACAGTTGTACCAAAATTTACTCTTTCACAAGAGAGAGGGCTAACTTTCACTCTTTAAAGACAATAATTATGATATTACATTTAATGGAGTAGGTTTAAAATTCACATTTAACTTCCTAGCCTCAAACTTACAGCTAACTCCAAAATCTGTTACTTAATATGCATGTTTATTTATAGGTTACATACCTAAGGACTCCAAAAAATAGTAAGCTTTCGAAAAAAATTTAAAATTAAAATACAATTACAGTATTTAATAATGATAGCTGATAACTTCTTTCAGATTAAAAGTAAATGGAAATGGATTAGATCTCACATTCAATTTGGATTTGAATATTTTATTAAGAAGGAAAAAAACTAAGTGTTGTCTTCTAGTAAATACAAGCCAGCAGGTAATGTTTAGGGACGCACGATATCTTTCTAATTAGGGCAATTAAAATGAAGTCTGTTATAGACTTCAGTTTTATATGGCATGGCATAATTCCATAACATAGGACAATGCAAATAGTACTCTTCCTTTATATGGTATTCTTGTAGAAATATATTGTCAGTTGTTCAGATTAAAAAATAAATAAATAAATAAAACAAATCTCCTGGACCAAGCTTGTAATTTCTTGCAAGACTCTGCTATAGAGACAACCTCTCTGAAACAAACAGCTAGTAGCAGATTAATTTACCAAAACTTTGGATGCAATAAAGGATTGCCAAAAGCCAAAGGTGTCTTGATTAAGTTTAAACATTTTGCAAGAGAAGTGTCTTCCTTCTAGACGTATACTTTGTTAGAGCTAGCAAAACTATTTGATTTAACTTGGTAGGATCTTAGGATGTGCAGGTTGGCAGAGACATCAGGAGATGATGTAAGTAAAGCCACCTGATGCTCAAAGCAGGAAGATCTTGAATTGCCTCACAAAAGTTGTTAGATTTAACTTAGAAAATAATTTTTTTCCATCTTTGACAATTAAGATCTTGCATTTAGAGGGTCAAGTTTTCAACTTTTTTCTTTAATTTCTGGAACAAAATAAAAGTGGAACGCCAGCACTTGTCACAAAACAGAAATCCCACATTTTGATCAGCTTTAACAACTGCCAGACATGGTCACACATTATTTGCCCTTACAGAAACGCAGCTAACAGACCTGTAGATTACACCTTTCCTTGGCTTTATCTTGAGTGGCCAGATAGATAACTGGAGAAAGAAATTCTCCAGTTAGTGAAAATGAGGTTTAATGTCAATGGTCTCAGTAATCCCTAAAAAGCAGCTGGTGCATTATACTCCCTCAGAAAGCCCTCAGACATTGCTTGCCCTGAGAGTCACTGTAGTCTCTCTCACTTTTATGTAGACCAGTGAAAGCTAGAACGTCTTGAAGTTTCCAGATCTTCATCTAAATAAACAAAAACAACAACAAAAAAAATCCCCACCAAAAAAAAAAACCACCACCGAACAATAGTTTTACTACTATTTTAGTGGTAATTTTACTACTATTTTGGTAGTAAATATATATAGATATATATTTATAGAAGTTCTATTTTATATTGTATACATTATCTAACATATACAATAAGATATATTATATAAATAGAACTATATATATATAGTTTTAATTCTTTCCAGATAAGATTTATTGTACATTTGAAAAATTTAGGTCTAGTTGTCTGCATCTCATCAGACAGACCTGTAGTTCCAATTTGGGAGGGAAGGATCCTGAAAAGAAACAGGCTACTTCCTCTTTTTTTTTTTTTTTTCTTCTTCAACTGAGAGACTCTTGTACCAAAAAATTCAACTTGTTACTGGGACTTACATATTGACCAGCCTTTGCCATGCAGCTAGAACTTAGTGATGCTATTTATATCCATAAAGCAGTAAAACTCTGAAAACACTTAGATGACAGATTTGCTTATAGATAATTCTTACACTGCTGTTTTTCAGAACTGACGTGTAAAGACCATAAAGCAGTTTACCAGTCACTTCTTACACCTCATCATGCAACAACAGAAGACAAGATAAACTCTATGCAAGCTGTGCTAAGATACGTACTTTGCACCCATCTCTTTTCCCAGACATTAATCCAGCACAGAACATCCTAGCTGTGATAATCCCATATGTGGAATGACATAATGTTTGATCAATAATTTCTACCTCTGCTTTCTGAAGAATTGGTGAACCTTCATCATCTGTAAAACAAATAGAAAAAAGGATGATTCAACAGAGTTTAACATTTTGCACAACTACTGAAAGGCAAAACAAGAAGTCTTCAGAAAATATCCACAGATACTTTTGACCTCCAAATTATTCTAGATTCCAACCAACTAACTGCAACAGCACAGAAAATCTCTTAAGTATCATCATTTATGTAATGCGATCTTAGTCCTTTGACCACACCAGATACAGTGACACAATCACTAGGACTGGCCAAAAAGCTTTTTCTAATACATTTTGCAAAATGTCTCAAGATTTCTTAATTTGTTCTCTTTTTATTTTTAAAAGGAAACAGGATTTTACAAAGGTATTTGGATCATCACAAGACAAATTTGCAATTAGGATGGTGTCTCTGAAGGGGCTGGATCCAAAATTACAAGCATGAGCCAGAGTTACAGAATGCAAATTGCTCTTTTGGCTGCATAAAGAACTTGGACATATATCAAGTTTGGCCTTCTTTGTCTCAAAACCTTGCTAAAATACCTCTTTTCTCTAAAATACATACTTCTGAAAAAACAGAATGAAACTGAATTGTCCAATCCTTTCAATACAAGGGCTCTAATAATATCACCAGATGATTCTCTCAAAAATCTGTATGCAGCCAAAGAA